CAGCCCACCCACTCCCACCCCCGCCCAGAGATGTGCCAGGCTCCCACCCCCATCAGTCAGACCCAGCCCAAGGCAGCTCCTGCCTCCATTCAATCTGGGTTCACCAGCCTGCTGGGGTCTCCCCTCGGGGACCAGGGGCGATGATGAGGGAACTGGGGTTGTTTAGTCTGCAGAAGACAAGAGTGAGGGGGGATTTGATAGCTGCTTTCAACTACCTGAAGGGGGTTCCAAAGAGAATGGAGCTCGGCTGTTCTCAGTAGTGGCAGATGACAGAACAAGGAGCAATGGTCTCAAGTTGCAGTGGGGGAGGTCTAGGTTGGATATTAGGAAACACTATTTCACTAGGAGGGTGGCGAAGCACTGGAATGGGTTACCTAGGGAGGTGGTGGAATCTCCTTCCTTGGAGGTTTTTAAGGCCCGGCTTGACAAAGCCCTGGCTGGGATGATTTAGTTGGAGTTGGTCCTGCTTTGAGCAGGGGGTTGGACGAGATACCTCCTGAGGTCCCTTCCAACCCTGAGATTCTATGATTTACTGCAGAGAAGCGCAGCGTCCTGGCAAGGCCCGGGGGGGCCAGGGACTCCATCCGCCCACGCCCTGCAGCCGCCCACAGGAGGGAATCACAGGGGAGCACAGGTGCCGCGGATCCCGCTGCTGCCCCCCATGCACAGCACGAGGGGCCGGCCCCACTGACCGGATGCCCACAGTGTCCGCCAGACACCCAGCACTGCAGATGCTGCCTCTGCATTGCCCAGCTCCCTTGGGAGCAGCTGATTCTACCAGTGCCCAGCCCAGCCGGCGCAGGAGGGAAGAGCCCCACCCCCCGCCTCCCTGCACTGGCCTTCACACTGCTCCAGACGAGTGGAGACACTTCAGCCCCCGCCTGGCTGCGCGGGGGTCACGGGTCGGACTCTGCAATCCGAGACACCCAAACCTAGCTCTGCTGGAGCCCCGCACTGCAGACCCGCAGCCCGCCTGACACTGGTGCCCCTCAACCCCAACCCCCAGTTCCCTGCTTTCCTAGTCCTGAGCCTTCCCTCGCGCTGTCCCAGCCATGGCCGTGTCTCTCGCTGCTTGTTTACTCGCCGCATCCGCAGCCCTTCCAGGGCAGTCGGTGCCAGCAGCAGCATGCTGGGGATAAACAACCGTGAGGCCTGGGCTGCAAGCTGCCTCGCCTCCCCTCCCTGCAGGCCCCAGCCCAGGCTCCCAGGAGCAGCTTCCTCGACTTCCCCTGCTCCTGGGCCCTGGGGTCTCTGGCAGTGCCCTACCTGCCCAGGTGGGGGAAGCACTTCTCTGCTGGTGCCAGCGCAGCCCTGCAAGAGGCCTTCTCCCTAGGCTGGCCACGCAGCCACTGCCACAGCTCCCATGTGGGCATCTGCCCAGAGCAGGGAGGTCCCAACCCTTACCCCAGCCCAGCACAATAGGATTCCCACCAGCGTGTGGGCTGAGGCTGCAGGCCCATGGGAGCGTGACCAGGGAACATGGGCAAGAAAGGGAGACGCACCCCACGCTACTGCGTGTAAGAACAGCCCACCACAACACACACCTACATCAGACATCGCTCGCCACACCAGGGCCGCCCCACCGCTAAGCTGAGAACTGACTGACTTCTTCCACCCCCAGCACCCGCTGTGCAGCGGGCTGGTGCGGAGCAGGAGTCACTCCCAGGTACACAGGCACCCCAGCAGTCACGCATGGGAGTGGACATGCGCACACATACAGTCGCAGCTGGCATAGCTCTGTACCAGCCCTTCGTCAAAGGCCGGGCTGCTGGCCCTGGCCGGAGACTGATTCTCCTGCAGCCCATCCCGTCCCCCAACCAGCCCCAGACCCCAGCAGAGCCGAGCCTCCTCAGAGTCACCTTCAGAGCATGGGAGGGAGGGTCAGCCCCACCCTACAGATGGGGAAACTGAGGCACGGTTACACCAGGGCAGAGACAGGCATCGAGCTCAGGTGCTGCCAGGCCCAGCCCCACAATGACCAGCTGTCCACAAGGGCATCTCCCGGCCTGGCACACAATCTGCCGGGCTGGCACTGGGCACGGACAGGAACTGCCCCCGTTCTAGCACCCTCCAGTGCCCCACGGCACGGGCCTCTCCCCAGCCTCAGCCCCCTGGGCACATTCACTCAGTCAGGAAGCACAGATCCCATTTCCCCTGCCGCTGACTCAGCTATCTACTGGGCCACACACCTCGCTGCCAAGCACACAAACCTGGGGCATCCCTTTCACACACACCCCCAGGGGGGCCCTCTCCCCCCGCACACACACACACGGCACATGCATACCCTACACACTGCCACACAGGGACACCCTCTCCCCCGTACGCACACATACACACTGCACATGAACACCCTACACACGCAGGGACACCCTCTGCCCCCCCCCGGGCACATGCGCACACGCACACCTGAGCGCATACACACAGGGGCACCCTCTGCCCACCCACCCCCCACAGAGCACACGCACACCTGAGCACATGCAGGGGCACCCTCCCCCCACATACATACACAAGGGCTGGGCACACACAGGGGCTGGGGGGCACCCCCCCACACACACAAGGACTGGGGGACACAGGGGCACACACAGGGCACCCCCACACACACACGGGGACACAGGTAGGGCACCCCACACACACACACACACCGGGCACCTCCCCCCC